TCTCATTTCCTTTCCCTGATTACTTTATTAAAAGAAATATATCCGTAAATGTGTCTACCTGCATAACGCACGCGATGGTGTCAATCTGAAGATCAAAGGATCTCCGAATATTCTGTAGATGTCGTCGTTAAAGTTTTTTAAAATTACTCAAATAATTATTTTATCCGCAGGGTTGGTAAATCCGAGACAATAAACAAATGAATAGGCAATAAAACTTATCACTCCTTTTTACAGCTCGATAAAGTTGACTCTGTATGAGGAGTAAGTACTTAAATTACCTATTAAGTACCAATTTAGGAAGCTCTACATAGTAATTAACATGTCATGATAAAACCAAAGACATCCTAACTAACTCACCTAAATTACCAATGCAACGTCCATTCCATACCACGTTGAAAACACTGTTTTTTTTTTTCGGATTTTACTTAGGTACCTTATAAAAAACAAACACTTCGTGCTACAGTAAATACTTAATATGAATAATAATACGTGTGGTGCTACTAACATTTTTAAAAGAAAACAGCTTTCTTACCTGAAAAAATCTTTAGATCTACCGACCATAGCAATTTCATGTTACCACGTGATTTCCAAGTACGAGTACTAATTTAATACTTCCTCGAAACCATTACTACCCCTGCTAATAGTGCTAATACTAATTCCAATTAGTACAATCAAGCACACAGTAGGCCGGGATGAAGCAATTTGCAAAAAATTAAACTGCTGTGGTCTACAGATCCTCTACCGACCATAGAAGTTTCATGTTACCAAGTTTGTTTGCCGATTACCTACCTACTAATTTAATACTTCCTCGAAACCATTACTACCCCTGCTAATAGTGCTAATACTAATTCCAATTAGTACAATCAAGCACACAGTAGGCCGGGATGAAGCAATTTGCAAAAAATTAAACTGCTGTGGTCTATAGATCCTTTACCGACCATAGCAGTTTCGTTACCAAGTTTGTTTGCCGAACTAATTTGATACTTCCTCGAAACCATTACTACCCCTGCTAATAGTGCTAATACTAATTCCAATTAGTACAATCAAGCACACAGTAGGCCGGGATAAAGCAATTTATGGCAATCAAGGGACACGTGAGTTATCCCTACCGTAATATTACTTCTGTCTTTACCTTTGTCGGCCCACTGTGCGGTCTATTCTTAGGATAATTGGGCGAAATCGAATTATGTCATTACGAACCACCTGTCGCGATGTCGGTCTGTAAACAAACGGTAATTGCATAGTCTATTCCTCAAACCAATAATAATAAACAATCGTATTTGTCTTTCTCACTCTGTATCGTTTTGTAAAAGAGACGAATGAAAGGTAGACTGTGTTCTGATGGTTATTAGTTAGAGTATTACATCCTTATGAGTTAACCTGAATTAGGAAGCTAAGAGGAGCGGAGTAGTAGAGGAAAGAAGGTAGGTAAGTCTGCTAAGGATAACAGAATGATTTTGAGCGTCTCTACTACAAATCTTTATTTACACCTACCTAGTCTTCCCCACTACGATTATCGGGTTAGCTGTAGAGCCGGGGCGTTAAGTCCGCCATATTGGCTGTGATGACGTCATAAAACACCCGGGCTGGATGGATAATAATGGATATGCCTCATTGAGTTTTACTCCATCGAACGGGTCACGCCCGCACACACATTATTGGCGCTAAGATCTAGAGAAATCGTCGGCCATCTTTAAATATTTACAACTTTTAGAATTAATTATAATTTTAATGATTTAATTGGTTCTTTTGTTATGTATTTACTTATCAAAGAGGCGACTGCGATCAGAGAATAAGTACTTTATGCATCAACGTAGGTAACTAATGAATGATAGGTAATTAAAATAAACCCAATGGCATATACGAGTAGGTAGGTACTTGTAATGAACGATGAGGGAAAATTGTTTAATTAACAGACCGTTAATTTTGAAAATAATGCCCGGTTATAAGCATAGCTGGGCACCGTTAATCAAATAGTTAACTTCGTTAATCGTTAAACCGTTAATAAAAAAATTAACTTCGTTAAACGTTAAAACGTTACATTTCGCAAGATTTAACGCAAGTTAACGTTAATCGTTAATCCGTTAACACATGATAATAAAACAAAAAAATAATTGTACAAGGTTCAAATAATTTCGAAAGCTTGTATCGCGCACTGAATTTATTCCTCTTTTATGTTTGCGTTACAAGCTTACGAAATTATTTGAACCTTGCATAGTTACAATTATTTTTTTCGTTTTAGTAACAACTGCATTTCAGAATAAAAGCTTGTTTTAAAAAAAAGTATTTTATTATTATAATTTTATTTTCCACTTTTTAGTAGTAGACTAAGAGCTAGTGAACGCCAGACCTACGTCATTTTATAAAAGCTGAAAGTTTGTCAGCGTATGCTCCCACTAAAGGATAGAATGTTGGTGAATCATGAATAGTTTGGGTCATCGTGGCTTTAGCAGCTATCCTGAAAAAAACTGTCTGGTAAGGAGTTGCAACTGTCAAAACTGTCTGGCTGATGAGGTAACTACTTCTAATTATTGCCCTAATATTTTATATAAAAATCAGCTTTTATGGTATAACGTAAGCCTAACTTTTACGGTGGCTTTTTCTGTATAATATACTTATAGAAAATATACTTATAGAAAATTTCTATAATTCTACTTACGTTATACCATAAAATCTGATTTTTATGTATGACTAGCGGCCGCCCGCGACTTCGTACGCATGGATCCCGTTTTACCCCCTTCATCTCCTTACGCGGTTTAGATTTTTTCATACAAATGTTTTTTCCCGCTACCTCCCGTTCTCGTGGGAATTTTGCAATATCCTGTTGTAACTAAGCTTTAAGTTTACTAAGGTAACTGCATGCCTAAGTATATAATTCCTAAGTATACAATAACCTGCCCAGGAATATGAAGAATAATTGTACCAAGTTTCGTTAAAATCCGTCTAGTAGTTTTTGTTTCTATAAGGAACATACAGACAGACAGACAGACAAACATTTTACTGATTGCATTTTTGGCATCAGTATCGATCACTAATCACCCCCTGATAGTTATTTTTAAAATATATTTCATGTATAGAATTGACCTCTATAGATTTATTATAAGTACAGATATTTGGGCAATGATTAGAAGTTGTTTCGACATCAGCTACACAGTTTTGACAGTTCCAACTCCTTTCCAGACAGTTTTTTTAGGATAGCTGCCAAAGCAACGAAGACCCAAACTTTATAATCCACCAACATTCTAACCTATATTGGGAGCATACGCTGACAAACTTTCAGTTTTAAAAAAATGACGTAGGTCTGGCGTTCACCAGCTCTTAGTCTATAGTATCTCAATCTCAGAGCCTTGGTTTAATTACAATACAGTTTAGCACCAAAGTGCTCGAAAAGACAAATCCAAAGTCGATAGGTTTCCACCGTTTTGTTTAGGAATTTCTATGGCCACCCCTGACTTCATCATCACTACTCTGGATAGGGCTGCCAGGTCCAAAGACACAAAAGCCGGACTTTGTGCTTCATTTGGCCGGACATTTCACCCTAAAAGCTGGACATGTGAGGGGGGAGGGGGGTGCAAAGCTCACGAGTGAGTACTATCATCATCGGTTGCCCAGCCATCCTGATGCGTGCGCTCCATATTATTCTATGGCTCGACTTTCGCCTGGCGCGGCAGCCAAATAAAAGGCCTAACAAAAGCCGGACAGGCCGGACAAGGCAATATGTGACCGGACAAGACCGTAAAAAGCCAAACATGGCGAAAGCCGGACACCTGGCAACCCTACCTGGACTTCATCTAGTACTAAAGTGCTCGAAAAGACAAATCCAACGAACCCAAATTCGATGCGATGCCGCCGTTTCATTTAGGAGTTCCTATGGCCACCTCCTGACTCCATCATCAGATCAGCTTAATCAGCATAAGTAACTATACCAAATTTTAGCTCAATCGGTTGAGAACTGGTCTTAAATTCAGTTGTAAAGTAAAGATTGGTCCCACAGATTCTAAAAAGTGAAATATAAAACTTGTAAATGAATAAAAAATAACATTTTTATATCGTTTCGTTCTGGTTACAAAAACTGTTGTTTTGGGTTCTGGAAGTACTTGTCAGAACGCGTTTTTCTAATGTTTTTCAGCGTGGCTGCTGTATCTTTTTGGTAAATAGTAGGTACTGGATTAACGATTAACGGACTTAGGATAATTTAACGGAAGTTAACGAGTCCGTTAACATTTTTTAAAGTTAACTTAAAAGTTAATCCGTTAATAGAAATGTTAACTTCGTTAATTAACGATTAACGGATTAACGAGTTAATGCCCAGCTATGGTTATAAGACTTCACAGCCGAAAGACGTCCTTTGTTGGACAAGGAGCATGCTTCAGAGAATTTTCATTTTTTTTTTTCATATCAAATGTTTCTGCGTGTGTTGTCCGTATTTAATTTAAAGTAATTCCCACGACCTTCATCAGGTTTTCGGGTCCATCAAGCCAAGTAGGAGAGGTCTCTAAAGTGCCACATCTTTACAGAAATTAAGAGAAGCAGGGGAATATTTATCTTCATAAATACCTACTATAATACATAATTTACTCTGACACTGACTGTATGAGCAAGTTGTACAAAGCCATCATAGAAAAAAAACTCAGCAGTGGCTAAATGCAAACCGCGCGAACCACTAAGGCCCGGTTTTTTGATTCATAGTTAAAATAACAAATTGTTAAATTTTGCTACTAATGGTTAAATATTAACAAAATGTTAACTCATAGTTAAAAAATGTACTAAAAGTCTAGCTAACCATTGTTCGAAAAACATTTTTCTCTGATATTTAACCACTTGTCATTTGACATCTGTCAAACTTGACTATTGGTTATTTTAACTACGAATCAAAAAACCGGGCCTAAGGCGCGAACTCACAATTAAAAAAAGTTACAAGTTGACACTGGCTAATTGCAAGCCGCACAAAGCAAAGAAAATAAAAACAAAGTTGGTACAGACGACAAAAAAAAACAAAATTGTGACAATAAAATCAATTTAATTTGATAAATCAGTTGGTCTGCTTGGCCTCCTTGGCGTTCTGCAGCGCCTGGGTAAGGTAGAGCTTGGCGAGGCTCTGCGAACAGAACTGGCTGATGTGCTGGCTGTAAGTGTTGATCTGCCCCGCCACGATCATCGGGTTCAGTCTTGGCGGCACTGGGAGCGGCTTGAACAGCTTGTTTACGTCTGAAAAGTAAGTAATATCATAAGTTTATTATTCCTAAAAACGCACGTACCAAAGTGCTAAAGCGCAGAAAACGCTGTTCAACAGTACGCCGCTCTTTAGCGCTTTGACGCGGGCTAGAAACGCGTTCTGTTTGGCATACCTTTCATGATCTGTAGAAACGCGATTATACCATTATTTTTCCGCCAATTATTAAAAGCTAGCTAAATTGATGCCTTTCCCTTTAGCAGTTACCAAGTAAAAACATAAGACATCATGGCAACTCTGAAAACCCTTCTTTACGTAGTTTCGGGTCTATCTGCCTTATTGCTATACGTGAGAGGGCTAGGAACATTCGAAACTTGGAATTTTTTTCAGTAACTCTGCATGTTTCAATACAGACATAAATAAAATCGAGCATCGCATCGACAATATTAAAGTATTTACCTTCTTCAGGTAGAGGCGGTTCATCCTTAGAGGCCCTGGCTGCGTTCTCCTGCGCTCTCTTCACCATCCAGCGGTGCTTGTCTTGCTGCTGCCTGACCACCAACTGCTGGTAGCGGTTGAACTTGATAGCTTCTTGATTCAGCTCGTCTACGCGCTCCATTAGGCTCCGAAGTTGACCTGAAAGTGATCAAACCAGTCAAAGATGAGATGGCAGAGAAGAAACCAGTAAAAAATTAGCCAGTGAATGTTCAATGCGATTTATTGTAATCTATGGCCAAAGAGCCACTGCCCAGTGCCAAGTTACGAATGACAGGTGTTGATTCGGAGTAAACGTCAGATAAGCGTTGCGCGCGCGATTTCGCACCCATAGTAGGGCCTATGTGATTCTGATTGGATGACAACTATGGAAAACTAAATGCAAACTTAAGCATCCAGTTTTTGTTATGAAATTAAGACAAAGACAGGTTGTGTAATTTTTAAAGTTGAGATCTTGATAACAAATTCCCCTTTGGACTTTGAAAACAAATAGATTATACAAATGAATGTTAAATTGTGTTGATAAAATATACACCAAATTATTCTTCACCATTTTAAGTTTTTTATGTAAAAGAAACAAGAATAAAAGCAATACACAAACCTTCAAGCACTGATGCGGTGCCGAGGTCCAAAAACTTGGATCCCTCTTCGTCTGGGATCATCTCTTGCAACTCTGACATCATAATATTTGTGAGCGGAGAGTTGCGGATCACGATTGGCACTTCGATAAACAAACTCTCATAGCCAATCTTGAGGTTGCGGAGCGCCTCCGGTGTGTAATCACCTTCTTTATACATGGCAATAGCCTGGAAACAAGATAAAAAAGAATATTAAGCATCAGTTAAAGTAAAATTACCAGGAAATAAAGGCATAGAGTGAAAAACTAAGGACTTAATATACTTGGACAGTTAATGTAATATTATTAGACATTAGTTTTAGGATAAATTATCTTAGTTCATTACTTTGAAGTAACAATTCATCTACTCTGCACATAATGGCCTTGTAAAAGACTAAACAGATTTTATATTGTGCATAAACATACTACATTCAATAATTTTTTAAAAATAAGAAGTAATTGGGTCACTAGACAGACCACACAGGCTCTCAGACACTAGGCTAGTGTTTTAACGCATTGACAGCAACCTTTAAAAGCCACTTTTATGCAGTCAGAATATTTAGTTGTAAACTGACGTGACTAAAAATATGTATAACCCACCTGAGGAGTCAGTCTGTAAGCTTTCAGAGTTAAGAAGCCCCTGGCGGACTTCTTTGTGTCGTAAATGACGACGACGCTCTCCTCGATGGAGGTCTGGTAGTGGTACTGTGACTCCAGGAGTGACTGGCTCAAGAAGTTGCCCACATCTGCACTCTGGTACCTGGAATGAATTGGCAATAGTGTTATTTACTAAGTGTTACTGAATGATATTCATAATTTACCACAAGGGGTTAACATAATCATTAGTAATTAGTATTTTTTTATTATAGCTTTAAAATCCACAATTAAGGCCATGATTTCCCAAATTGTCGATATTTGACCGATTTTGTTTGCAGATAGCTTCTAAATGAAAAGATATTTTAGCAAACAAAAAATTGTACGAGTAAGTTAATGTCTTTAACTAGGGCGACAACTTTTCCAAAACACGATATTGCATAGTTTGTCCGATAAAAAAAAATCCCAAAGAAGTACGTCGACGGCTTTTTTGTTTTACTCTCATATATTCATTTTTAACATTTTACACTTAAAATATATACTAATAGATAGGACTTTGTATTTTCTAGGTCGACAACTTTTCAAACTTTTGTTATTGCGTCTTATTTAGTTACTATGTTGAAAAAATGTGAAAAAATCGGCCATGACGGCTTGGACAATCTTAATCAGTCGCGCGGTGGCGCTTACGGAGGACGGACGCGTGTCAGTTTTATTCCTGTGACAGTTCGCGACTTGTCAATATTTTTGACAAAATCGCCTCTGTCTGGCGGGTGGCGAGTCACAGTATAATAATATCAGTATTACTGGAGAAAGCNGAAAGGGAAGATTGCTGCTTTCTACTACTACGAACAGACAGCGCACTCACCCGTTCTGCAATCCACCAGCACCAGCAGTTTCCGGGGGGTGAACCGCGGTTCCCAATCTCTTGTCTGCCCTCGAAGATGGAAGATGATGAAGGACCAGCCCTGACTCCGTAGATCAAGGCAGCGGGTGCATATAACGCGCACTTCACAAACACGCAATATTTCAGTTCTCAGCGTCGGCTGAACAGTTCCAGCTTATAGTACAGTACAGCGGTGTGGACTTCAACGATAGAAGGTTCCAGCAAGAAGAGGCGGTAACTCCGATGCGGCGCGACGGCGTCCGGAGTGAGCCACGTCAATTCGTAGACTAGTGTAGAAAGCAGCGAATAATAGCGGGGTAAAATTATTAGACAGAAGCGGGTAGGTAGGAAAAAAGAAAAAATATGAATGCCCACATTGGCATGAACAGTAACTTTATTTTCCTACCTTCATTCAACGATCGGAGCAAGCCTCAGTTGCCCTCTGCGAGTCTAGAGTGATGTGAGTGACCTTTAAAGGTGGTGTCTGTAACATATGAGAAAATTTAATAAGCAAAATATTTGTGTGTAAAATAAAATATTAAATATTTAGTTTGTTTCCAATGAATTAAAATAAGAAAGATATGTGATGTACAGAAATAAGCACTATGGCAACACTGACTAGTACGGCGCGGTGGGGGTCAGTCGTAGTCGGGCCGCCGCACGGTACAGACGTGAGTGCTTGCTGCTAACTCGTACAGTTAGCACATACCAATGTTTTATCTTTCTTTTGCGTATGTTCGCGGGTGTAGCCGTGCTCCGCGTACCATCATCATCAGCTCCGACGATACTCAGGCAGTGTTCCACCGCCCAGAATGCCGTGCGTCTACAGGTTGGCTTCCGTCCGTGGCGAGGGTCGGCTTTAAGGTTAGTGAAGCTCAGATTACCTGTCTCTGTATTGAAAAGACTGATCTACCTTTCATCAATATTCAATTAAAAAAAAGCTATACATTTCACTGTCTAATCGAATATCCTGAACCAAAGCAATAAACGCAATTTTCTGTATGACTCGCGCACAATATGAGAAAATTTAAAACTTCGTAATTATTTCCACAAAGTAGAACGGTCATCTGTGACCCAGGCCCGACAGAAACGAGACATACCTCAGTTTTTTTGTCATGTCTTAATTAGTTAAATTATATATTTTTTATATTCGAAATCTATGTATAACACCAAAATATTACCCTTTGTTTTTGATCAGGCGTTGTACAAAAAGCCGGATCTTTGTTTGTTGCTAGTATGTACTCTTTATTGCCTGGATTAATTAAATTGTTAATCCAATTATATTATTTAATTTTTTTGGTGTAGAGTAGTAAAGGTTAAGCCTAGGAGAATGATATCGTATGTTAAAGTCCGTCGGATTACACTTGAAAATGTAAAAAATGTGTAGTTACAAAAGTTTGCAAAGAGAAAACGTTGGCAATTAGTCATTTCAGGGAAAATTCATGCTCATTATACTTTATTTTGATAATAACTTAAGTGCCCTTAATTGCGGGAAGAGCTGTATTTCAATTACTGAAAAGAAATTCCATGAAAGAAGCCGCGCGCATTTGATTAATAATCCAAATTGCTGCCTAATAGGTATTCGGCTTATTAATCGAACTAACAGGGGAAATCATCTGACTTCCTAATGTAAATGTGACTGACAATTGTAATTATCCAGCTTCAGTAGCAAAACAATCACCTCAACCACTTCAGTAGCAGATATCAGAATGTACAGTCAGTTAAATAAAGATAAACTTGTAATAAAATTGTACCTCGGATTGGATAAATAAAAATTTGTACAATACTTTTGCACTTAAGTACATGACATTATTAATTAGAAAACTGGACGTTTTTTATTCATGTGGTGATCATATTTAAAAAAATATACATTTTAAAGAATATCGTCCAATACAAAAATACTAAGACGACAAATCACAGACGATTATACGTATCTGCCTCTATTTTCGATACAAGTTGATTAAATTGGACATGGACGTAGCTAAGATAAAGAGCATTTGAATGGAAAAAAGCTGCCAATGACTTTATATCGAATGAAGGTGGACAGACGACCTCATGCTACCACTAGCAAGGCCCAGGGCTGCAGGCCGCTAACAACCGGTCAAACTGGAAATCATTGGGGGCGGCCTTTGTTCAGCAGTGGACGTCCTTTGCCTGAAAAGATGTAGATGACTCTGTATTTGATGGGTAGGTACCCTTGTTCTTTTGTTTCAATAAGTTTTACGGATAACAATTAAATTTTCTAAGCTGACTGTACAATGTTCGCGGTGAGATGATAACAATGGCGGCTTGACTAAGCAATATGCCGACCGAGCGACATATGTCACCCCACTAATCCCATAAGTTAATATGAACAGGGGATCGGCTTATTACGTATTACCGCAAATCTGCTATTTCCCCTAGTTTCCCTCGTGATATTATTTTTGTTTATTTTTCGAGGTAGCAACATTTGGTATGATAGTGAGGTTGAGAGCTCTCAGTGACGTCAGATTGGTTGGTTTATTAGAAAACGACATAAAGCTTGGTTTCCATGTTCGTTAACGCATGACTGAAATGTCTAACTTGTATTTTGGATGTAATCTAGAACCAAACGTTTTAATAACATAATTAATTACACCCAATATCATTTAGCATGGACCTATAAAAAAAGTCGGACGGATTCTCATCAACAAAATACTGTGACATTAGGATACACCAGCTTGCCTGTACGTACAGGCCGGCACGCACACATTCACACCCTGTTACACCACTTCGAGTGCAAACTTCACACAGTTGACACATTTAAGCAGCGAAAAAACAACACGAATACGACATGTCTTGTGTGATGAAATTGTGTAAAAACCGTTCTGTTCGAACAAACAAAAATTAAGGAATCACATTTCACAGGCAAAATAATAATCCAATCACTTATTTCCCGACATTAAAATATTGAAATTAATTGAAATCAAACGTCATTCACTCGAAAAAATAATACGTCAAAGACCAGTGTTCTCAGTTATTTACGTGGGAAAATTACCCGAAATATGGGAAATTAATAATGATTTTAGGACTTTTTAGTTATGTATTACGCATACTATGGAAATTAAATAATTTATCATAATAATTGTGTTTTAATGGGATATATTTTCATAGGCAAATTTGATCCTTCCCAAAAATGTGGAACTGCGAAATTCAAATTTTCTTACATTGATTGCAAGTCAGTGTCAGGTTGTATGTTAAAAAAAATCTATCAGAGATAATAATAATATATTGATGATGCATAAGATTATGATTATAATGTACACACGATTCGTAATTTGTAACTGCGTGAATCATTTTTGATCAACATTATGTACATACCCTGACACACTGACTTGCAAACAATGTAAGAAAATTTGAACATTGAAAATTTCGCGCCTACCTCAACGCATACACCTTTCATCCTTTTAAAATGGCACGGAATAATTCTGTCTACATTTCCAAGTAACAACTGCCGATCTATGTTTTTCTTAAAATAAATGGGTAAAATGTTTTGGCTAACATGGCATCCCTAAATTCACTCACACAATAGACAAACGCCAAAATTTTGCGTCACAGTTTTGTTGTAGCGCGAGTTCCGTCCGCCTTTTTTTATAGGTCCATGGACCCAGTATGCAGATTTTATTGATTTTAGTCTGCTATATTGTTTAGTTTTTTTAACTTACTGTTCAGCAACGTCAAATAAATTTAATTTAACGCCTCCTCACATTAATTTAACAGAAGTAGAATTTATACAAATTATAGGCGGCTTTCAATAAACAAATAATTGGCTAAATTACAAAAACATAAAAGAAATAAAATTATCGAACCGAATAAAATCAAAAGCGAGAGTCGTAGAAAAGTGTCAAAGTGACAACATAAAATCTTCTTTTTTCTTGCCGGCCAGGAGCGCGCGGCACGGAGCGTCGCGGGCGGACCGATGAGTTTGCATTGTGGCGTACATAGATCGCCACAAGTTCGTGACACCCGAAGTGACCAAAATGTTGACAAAACCTTATTCGAATTGTAAGAAAGACGTGTTGCGAACTTGTCTGGCTACTTTGGGTGTCACGAACTACACTTGCGAGCAAAAGTATGGAATCACTTACATGAAGTTGTTTTCACGCGATCTTGTGTACTAACCAAATTGTTAGTAACAAAAAAAGTAGCACCATTTTAAAGATTAAACTTTTAGCTTTAAATTGATACCAAATTCATTTAAATCACACCAGTATTTAAAAAGATATCCCGGCTGATGTGAAGAAGTAAGAAAAAAGACATGTATCAACTGTTTGATACGTCGCG